GCAAGAATGAGCGCGCTTAGTCCAGCAGACGGCATTAGGTGTGTTCGACTTAAAGCGGCGCTGAGCAGACCGATCGGTTAATGGATGCTTTGATATCATACACCCGCAGCGCCGCTTTAAGTGTAATACAACTTTTGTTTGGGGTGTTCGGTGAGTTCCATCACGATATGTACGTCATTCAAGCCGACCAATCAGGTTGTGAACGTATCACTATGCCTTTAGGTTCGCTGTCAAAAATGCCAATGTGAACGCTAAGTGGACCAGGACCAAATGTATCATTTTCCTTTATGGTCTGGAACAAATGAATCAAACAAACTGAAGTACAAGTGTGAACACACCCTTAATTCTGTCCAGTCCAAGTTAGTAACCAGGCTGGGTCACGGCTGCCAGGCTCCAGGAGATTAACAAGAAGACTAATGGAATTATGCATGGCTGCGTTGCCCTCTCTCATAGAGCCGTTACCTACAAACCCCCCTGTTGAGTGCCTGGCAGAACAGGAGAGAGTCTTTGCCAGCTTTTACCCCCCGAGCGACTCACCGCATCCCTCTCCCATATCCCATCTTTCTCAGTTCCACTTTCCCAACAATACGTTTCTCTTTCACAACCGGCCGGAGAGGTAAACAAATTGAGCCAAAAGACTCAGTTGTTGATATAAGCCATACAGTTTTGAGTATATCAGAAAACTGTATATGTTTAAGAACTTTTAACGGAACCAAATACCATAAATTGTTTGGTTGTTGTATATTTAGGACTATTCTTGAATAGACCATTCTTCCCAACCCACATACGCTGTTAGTTCTCTAAACATCACAGATGCAGAAATCACCATATGGAGTTTGTAACTGCTGACTAATTCTCTCCAACCCTCTCGCTGTCCAATAAGCGAAGTTGCTCACGCTTGTTTTGCAGCGTTTTAAACCACAGGAGCCTGGCTTTGCCAGATCACAACCAGACTCGCTTTGTGTGTGTCTGTATATTAAAGATGGAGGGCATGAAGTATGCATTTGTTGCGTGGAACCAAATGTAATTCTATCAAATTTATTCTGATGAAGATCTGGAATCTGCAGCTTCGTTTAAAGGTTTCTTCAAGTCTAATGAATTCAGTCTGGATGAATTGTCATTTAGTTTGTATAAACTGCCCTTCTCTTTCTCTCTTATTGGTTCTGATGTTTCACCGTTACAGCAGAGTATGTTAGTATCACAGGCCTGTGGATCAGCATTGACATCCAGCTAAAACAGCCAACACACACATGCTCCCGAAGCAGTGCCAATGATCATGGACTGGCTTTTTTCCATGCATTTCTGACTTTTCTGTTTGTGGTTTGCATGTTTGGATGAAAATCTTTGATCTGATCAGTTTTGTCTCACGCTTCTTTTTTTTTTTAGTTGCTCTTAGGCAACTTGTAGAATGACAAGATAGATAGACAAGATAAGAATTTGAGACATTAGGGTTTTTTGTTACATTGATGGGGTGCTTGACGTCATTAATTTTCAGTAGTATTTTGCGATATAAGCATCAGAGACCTAGCTTTATGTGAGTAATGCAGCATGCAAGTCACTCTTGTGTGCCTGTTCCCGAAGCAGTGCCAATGATCATGGACTGGCTTTTTTCCATGCATTTCTGACTTTTCTGTTTGTGGTTTGCATGTTTGGATGAAAATCTTTGATCTGATCAGTTTTGTCTCACGCTTCTTCTTTTTTTTTTAGTTGCTTGTAGAATGACAAGATAGATAGGACAAGATAAGAATTTGAGACATTAGGGTTTTTTGTTACATTGATGGGGTGCTTGACGTCATTAATTTTCAGTAGTATTTTGCGATATAAGCATCAGAGACCTAGCTTTATGTGAGTAATGCAGCATGCAAGTCACTCTTGTGTGCCTGTTCATGGCTGTCAAACATGTTTTGTGTCCTAACATGCCTTATTTTTGATCTAAACCGAGAAACACGCTACCCAAATCACCTGCCAGTCATCAATAAACAAATCAAGTTCATCATGGCACAGAAAAAAGGCTTTAGCAGACATAAAGTTATTTAAACCTCCTTGAATAAACATCTTGCCTTTTCTCTTTCTTCACAATTCTAGCCAGTTACTGCTGCCTCGTTTCGGCCAAAACAAACTAATGACCGAACAGCTACTCATTGTGAAATTAAGTCAACAATATTAAATGTCTTCCATCACTGTGATTACAAAAGTTGCAATTGTGTGTGTTGTTAAAGAGCCAAGTTTATTTAATCTCTCTTAGATAAAGCAGAATTGAAAACATTTGAAAGTCCAATTGAAGATTTAAAGCATTGATCTGCTTGTTTGAGCATCGCGACCAGTCTGATGCTGCAAAATGTTGTTTGCGGACATGTTGGCATTAATCTTTTCTCATTGATCCGTGTGTATGATTGTGTGTAGGTATTGTAGATGCAGCAAAGCATTAGTTGTTTAATGAGGATTTGGTGATGCAGTATTTGTTAGCAACAGCCGCAGGAGAGAAGTTTGATAAAATTACGCAAAAGGCCATCTCAAATGTGCTCAGCTGTATTCCTGGGACTGCCCACCATCTCTATCTTTTGTATTTTGTTATATGTACATGAATGTAAAATAACGCATTTCTTTTCTACCTCTTTCCCCTCACAGTTCAAGAGGTTCCTCTGTGACTCTCCTTTAGAGGTAAGTTTTTTTTTATTTTTTAAATATATGTATATTTCAAACGTACAATTTGATTTTCTCTCTTTCTCAAGTCTTGGCCAATTCAGAGGATTTCATAGGATGCTACATGCACTTTTACAAGTTGTTTGAACTGAAATGTGTGTTGGCAGTGTGTGTACACAACCACCCTAAAATGATAAAAATCCACCCAGTGTTTTTTTTTTTTAATCTGCTCAAATCTTTACCCCTTTCTCATATCGAGCCGATCTTGGCCACATGTCACTTCACTCACTTCACTTAAGACCCTAAAGAATCATATCAACTTGTGGAAAATGGGCATCCTATGACCCCTTTAAGGTAATGGCACATAAGAGTAACAATGTTAATTTTGCGACAAACAACATGTGGAAATGGCTCTCTGGGTAGCAGTGTAATTCCTGGGTTGTTTGTTTGTCATGAAACAATGGAAAAAGTTTAATGTGTCGTACAGACCAACCACATTTCTATGCGGCATAGCGGGGCCACACACACAGGACAAAAACAAAGAGTTGACTGTGATGTGAAATTGTCCCTGACAGATGATCGTGTCTCTGTCATGTCCAGCTGCCGTCATTAAATGATCCCCTTGTTGTGCTTCTTTATTAGTGAGAAGCAGACGAGGACATTAGAGAGCAAATGTGGCCAGGCAAACGTTTGTTAAAAT